CATTCCTCGAATAAGTTTTAATTAAAATCAAAATCTGTCGGCATCTCTCTCAGCTTAACTAATTTGCATGACATCTCGAGACAGTTGACACCTTTGGCATTCCTCCAGAGCAATATACTACTCATGCTATACAAATATATGCTATATATATTCATATATATACTCGTATAAAGATAAGAAGCCATATGGCCCTCTTAAGCCTTAACCATTTGGTTTCATAACCAGGCTTTCGAGCCATAATTAACTAATTACACTGGCTGTTATGGCCAAAGCTTTTATTATTATTTTGTAACCAATAACGGATGATATTTAAATGGTTGGCCAGAGTATTGGAAAATGATTTCAATTTGATTGAAAAGCAATTATGAGCTTTGAACTAGTTTCATGGATATTTAAAAGCTAAACAAATGAAAGCGAAATGCGTTTTGGATTGCAGATTGAAGGGAGGGAAATGTCTTTAAATCGAAATTCTTTAAGCTAAAAATGTACTTTTCATCTACGCTGCTTGACAGCCTTGAAATATCACTTAAAAACTATTAACCAGACAACTTCATCTTTTAGCAAAACCTTTTTTATAGACTTCGCAGTTCCGTCAGAACCTTTCGTAAACAATTTCCCAAAAATGTTGACATTCATATTGATTTATAAATATTATTAAAATTCATTTCTTTCTGCTTAAATGTTGTTGGAATTTTCTTGAGAATCATTTTTAGTAAATTTCAGACATCAGAACGTGTTTCTGTGTCTGTCGTTGCCGGCATTCAATTGTTTGTTAACTAATTTGCATGACACATCCTTTGGGATAGCCAGCACCTAGCACCTAGCACCTTGGCATTCTCTATGGGCATTGCAACACTTTGCCAGGATACAGAACGATAAGGACAGGCTGGCTGGGCTCTGGCTACTTCAGCCTTCGTTCGTTTGTCCCTGCAGGCTGCAGTCGGCTGCTAGCTGCAAGCTGCAAGCGGCATCTCCTTCATCTTTTCATTCACGTTCCAGAGTTTTTGGCTGAGGCATTTTATTGCCTTCATATTTCCATGTCCTGATCCTAGACGCTGTCATAAATTGCCCAAGCCTTGCACAAATGAACCGTACAACAGGACGATGGGTAAGGGATGAGGCAGCAGGAGCAGGAGCCGGAGCAGGAGCAGGCCAAGATAGATACACACCGATGCGCATACATAATTTGAATAACTCACAAAAATGCACATTTATCGTATAATGCTCTCGTACATCAGCCGGGCTACTAGGGCATTGCCAGGACCTTCTGCGGGGAGGGGCAAACATCCTTATTCCCTGTTCTCTCTTCCGGTTTCTGGGAGAGGTTGCACTTCTATCTTCATGCTTCTGGGATTCTCGTGGGTTAACTTTTGAGGACTGTGTTAAGTCTTGGTCTTAAATAAATAAGTTAAAAGGGAGTTAAGTTGGAAGTTTTTCTTATAGTTTTTACTTTATCTTTATAAGATAGGTGATTGTCTGGAAATGTCACGTTAACTGCGGTTGGTAACTGCATTAAGAAGCCACAAGTCAAATCACTAAACATACTCAAAATGTGCCCGCAGGGGGTCATCTGTCAGATACAAATATATAATATTATATATATATATTTATAGTCGGTGCCATCAAGTGCCGAGTGCCAAGAGCAGACTTCGACTGAAGACGTGACCATAATTTTGAGGCTTTCAATAAAATCCGGCCCCTCTTCAGCTCAGGTCAAGTAGCTGCTGCTGCTGGGCCAGTGATGTTCGAAATCATTTTAGATTGAATTGGGTAATTATTTAAAGGAATTTATTCTTTATATAGCCTCTCTCTTAGCATACAAATCGGAAAGATAAGGATTACTTTCTAAGGAAGAAATCTTTAAGGTTCTTTCTTTATAAAAGATCTATAAAAGAAGTTGAGGTAATATCACTTACCTTGACTTATATAAGACATATTAAACCACATTTTGTGGCTCTTTTTAATACTAGTACTACCCTTAGTAGCTATAACTAATTCCAAGTACGAAGTACCTTACCCAGCACTATTCCCTTGTTTGGGATTCGATTGTCAGTCGCAGTTTCTGACCACCACACACAGCTACTTAGAATGTCCGGCCTTTGCAGATTTTGCAGCTCTTGCTGCTGGCACCCCCACTGCTGGGGGTCGTCCTGTGTGGCTCCTCTTCTTACTCCCCTTTGTTGTTGATTTTCCAGCCTAGTTTATATAACCCACAAACAGAAGTCATGACAAAATCATTACAACCATTTCATGTAGTTATCGTACATGGCAAGAGGCATGCAAACTGTATATATGTACATATCCTAACATATATAAATATATACATATCCGCCCCCCTCCCCCTCGACCATTTTCATCGTGAATGTTGCTCTAGGAAATGGCAAAAGCTGTAAAAAATTTGCATTTTTATAACAACTTAAGTCACCAGACGACTTTACTTTTCCAAGCACTTGAACTGGTTTGCTTCCTATACAAAGTTTTGCATGCGTGTCACCCCCACTCAAATCCCCCTTGTCCCCCCGGCCCCCGTAGCAACGCCTCCTTCGCCCATATCAGCATATCTAAACTGTAAGCACGGTGAGAAATTAGATTAATTTTTGGGAGTTTATATGGTAGTTTTGTTGGGGTATTTATAGGGAAAAGCAGGGAACTATCTTCTGATTTTCTTAAGACGTTTGGGAACATTCCTTGACATTCTCCTTAGTTAGTCTCCCTTGGTTTTCCTCAGTGCAGTCCTGTACTAGTATGAGTGCATTTATAAAAGCAGTTATATTTATGAACTAGAAAGAGAAAACGATGTTCCCAAAAAAAGAAAGTAAGAAGAACTAACGAAAAAAAGAAAAAGAAATGGTGTCCATTTTGCAATTTGCCGCCGGCGCGTTGAACGTACGGCAAAATGGTTAAAAGACTGTGAGTTGTGTGGGCGGTAAAGGGTGTGGGGAGGTCTGTAAAGAGCGAGGGCGTGGCAAAGGATAAGTGGGGACATATGTATAAAATAGCACAAAAAAAAAAGAAAAAGAAATAAAAACAAAATGAAACAGCAGCAAGTCTCTGCCCTCAACGGATATTCATTTCGTTGGGAATTTTCCTGGAAGGAAATTATGAAATCCATAATTGGAAGCTGCTAGTTTAAGCTAAGACAGTTGCTAAAAAACTATAATAAATAAGTAGGAAAAATATAGTTAAATATTATAAGCTTTTTTCAGATAAACCCATGGCAAAATTAGTTTAATAAATCGATTTTTAAAGGCCTTTGACTCGCCCTGATTTGTTCTTTTAGAAGCTGTACTAGAACAGAACTAGTTTTCTAACAACCTACTAAGATTTTCCATTCCGTTAAGGACCTAAGAACGGAATCAAGAACTTAAAGTCTCGAGTGCGAGTCTCGAGGGTAATTCGTATGACCTGCACCCACTAAATTGCCATTTTGGCGCCATCAAGTGATTTGCTAGAAGAATTACGTATGCAGAAAATGACCAACATGTTGCTCCCAGCTCTTGGCCATAAAAAATCGGCATACATACGTACGTACGTACGTACTATATAAGGAGTGCAGAAAGTGAAGGCAAAATGGCAGGATGCAGGATATAGAAATTGCAGCTTGCATACTAAAATGCATTTTTGAGATGCACTGAAGAAAAAAACCAGAAAGGATTTACTAAGTTACAGAGTTTGATTGGGATTTATCTAAAATATTTTACCAAAAATATGTTACCAAAAGTTAAAAACGAAAAGAGCTCACAAATTTACTTGAGCTGCTCTGAAATATTTCTTTCAGTGTCCACCCTTAACTCCACTCTGACCTCTGTCAGCGAAAACTCCTTACATATGCATGCGAGTGCGTCCTGGCTGGACAAACTCGATATGCATCGTGGAACCCGGCGTCTCGGTGAATTATTTAAATAAATGCTGGATGCTGGCTGCTGGCTGCTGGATGCTGGGACAAAGATCAAGCGCCAGTTTTTTATCATTGCTCGCTCTAACTCATCTGCATTGCCAGAACCAGGACCTCATCCACAGGACCTTTCCCCTTTTCCACTCATCTCTCCTACTGCTTGTTAGTGGTGCTTCAGCTAAACGATGGTAATTTGTGGAGACAGGAATGAAGATATGGGAAACGGTCCAAAAAATAGCATTTAGAGCCAAAAGGAACGAACAGATTTTAAAGAAAATATTCCAAAGTGAGGAATGTTATTAATACTTCTATCCTGACTTAATTACAGGGATTTTAATTTCTTAAAAAAGACCAACTCATCATCATGATTTCCTTGGAAAATATTCGCATAAGCCATATAAGGACTACAGAGATTCCTGCACACTTCATGCCCAAGCTTGCCATAAAAATATCTTGCATTTTTGCAGTCACATCCATTCGCTGTCCAGAAATGAAGACGTCGGAAGTTGTCCTTGGGGACGTGGAAAAGGGCGGTTAAAAAGTGCTGAAGGGTGAAAGGGGTCTGGAACTTATCGCATACAATGCGCATTAGCAGTGTCTACATGAGTCCCCATCAAGTTATTTCCATCCTGTCCCGAGGACGGCTGTTGCATATTTCAAGGGGTTTTGCCCACATTTCTCCCTGTTTGTCATCTCGTTTTTGAGACGCTTGAGTCCGTTTTGTCATGGCTGGAGCGCTCCCTTTACGCTGGAGAATAAATTTAAAAATCAGATGTCGGCTTAGGAAATTGGAATTGCTCAACCATTCTATGAACTGAAATTTAACAAGAATGCTTTAACAAGAAACCAAAAGCAGTTTTAAGGCTGGATATTGAGAATAAATAAATATATATATATATAAATATATAAATTTCTTAAAGTCCAAACAAACTTGTATTAAGTTTAAAACATTTAAAAACGAGAACTTCATCAAATTAAAAAAAATTTGAAAATACCGCGGACTATGTGTCCCTGCTAATCAGCGGGTGAAGAAACCCGCTAAATGTGGATGGTATACCAGCTTGGCTTGGATGATCTATCGATATGAATACTCTTGCAGTCTTTGCCCATCCCTAGTTTATTTTGGCAAACAAAATGACAAGCCCTGTGCGTAAAATTTGTTAAAGAAAAACCAATCTTGCGATCCTTGTAAGTGACCAAAAATGTTCTTACAGGCCGGATCGAGTGGGTCAGGGGGCAGTGGCAGTAGCAGCAATGGTGATGTGGGCAGCAACTCTGAGGAGACGCGACGCATTTGGGTAGGAAATCTGGACTCACGGATAACCGAGTAAGTTGTGGTCGGAAAAATGCCGTGAAATCCAAAGGTGCTAATAGTCCTTTTTGCATTACCCATTATCGGTTTCAACTCCTCAAACTGATGCAAAAATGCGGCGCCATCGAGAAGTTTGACATGCTGTTCCACAAGGGCGGTCCCATGGTGGGACAATCCCGCGGCTACGCTTTCGTTACCTTCGCTCAGGTTGGTACAATGGTTATTGCTTGTTAGGATTGGTTGTATAAGGTGCAGGAGTTGCATAACCAGGAGTGAAATGTCATAGTTCTTGTACTATTTGGTCTTCTGTTGCTTGAAGAGGCAATAAGTGGGTGACTTAAGAACCCCTTACATCGCATTTATTTTTGGTATTCCAAAGTGTCTATACTATGAATCATCTATATATGTACATCATTGTATAGAGATATACCAATAATTGGCTTTAAAGGAAAGAGAAATGCATAAATTTAGACCAGAACTGCTCCTACGACTTTGACAACCTTCCTCTAGCACTTTTTTCCAACCAGCTAACCCATCTCCATCCCCTTCAGAACGAAGGAGCCACCAATGCATTGCTGAAGCTAGATGGAACCAGTGTGGGAAATCGCTCAATAGCCGTTCGTTTGGCCAAAAACATAAAATATGTAAGAAAAACCAAAGATTTCGATTCTTTGTCCCCAAGGAATCTCTCTTTACTGCTTATCAATCTAAACAAACATCTCGACGTTTATGATGCAGGATGATTTGCAAAAGCCAAAGCCACGCCTTGAGATACCAGCCTTAGGAACCGGAAAACGCGAGGAGAAGATCAGCAAAACTGAAGCCATACGTGCCATTGAGGCCAAACTGAAAGTGCTAGAACGTCAGACGGACGACAATCTTGAGCTGAATAATGGCGGCAGAGGTGAGGCCAATGTGCCTTTCATTCAGCGCTATCAGTTCAATAAGGATCGGGACGGATTGCAGCGCTACGGCAAGTCCTCGGCTCCATATCATCGACAGCAGCGACCCAAGCGGCGCTAGCCTCTTAGACTCCGAATTCGACTTCGCCACCGTCTCACCCATTTAGCCTGTAAACAAACATCTTTAGTACTTAGGGCGCTACCTCAGCAGACGAGCCTTGTGCAGGTGTAATTTTTACAATTAATTTATTAAAAAAAAGAGAAAAGGAACAATTAGAATCAAGGCGGACATCTATTTGGGTGCGAATATGAACTTGCCACGCATATGCTCGGGCAGCGGGAACGTTCCGGGACAAGAAACCTGGCCGGGAATCTCGCAGATGCAGTGCCTGTCGCATCCGTAACCAAAATTTGCAGGGTTATCCTTACTCTCCTTGAGGCGCGCCTCCGCATCCAATTGTTCGCTGGAAATGGGAAATGTTTTTTGTTAATTAGAAGAACATAAACATATTTGAATATTCCATGCCAAAGTACAGAGTGAACAAAGCCTTTTAGTAGTAAACCCAGTAGTATCAGGGAGAAACTATAGAATATTCGTGTTTGGAATGAACAACAGATCATATCGATCAAATTTCTCCCCTTTATAAGTAGTAGATATTAAATAGGACTTTATCAAACTAACAACACTAGACTCCTACAAAGGCCACTTGGAACATATTTGAAATATATATATAATCCTCGATATATACAATCTGAAGCCATGTAACTACCTAGAACCAAATGTAAATGATACAATTTCACGTTTTTACAACATAAACATGGCCATCCATGTTCGGACTAATTTGTAACAATACAAAAACTAACAAATATAAAGCCTTTTTAACAATAATTAACGCTTGTTGTAATCAACAAAAAGGCATAGATTCTAGCAATTATCAACGCACAAGTTTGTCAAAAACACATAATCTTGGATTAGTTAATGCAATCCGACAATATCGTAAGGTTTCAAGGACTTTGGAGCTAGCATTGTTAAAGTTCAGGATTGACAGAAGGAGAATTCTCGAGATAACATTTTGTACTTTATAAATCAATAAACTAACAAACACCGACTATCAAACAATGAAAAACGTGGAACTAATGACTAAAATCTTGGGATAAATACTCACCGGGTCTTGCCCACCACCTGGATAAGATGCTCGATGATGTCGTCCCGTTTCTTGCCATCGACATCTATCAGCATGTCACGTCCATCATCGAAATAGCAGCGGACGAAAGGCGAAGGCGTCATGTTCTTCAGGGTGATCACCTGCACTTCGGGATTCTTGAACTGGATCTGTGGGATGTTCCAGAACACAAAGTCTCTGTGGGAATGTGAGTTATAACTAGATATCAATGGAATATATCCCATAACTCACCTCGCTCCCGCGTGATGATCACCAAATGTGTTGTAGTTTACGCTAAATATGCGCACTTTGTCTTTTAGTACCAGCTTGCCGGCATTCAGATAGTTCAGGGTACGGCGGATGGGCTCACGGCCCTTCATGAAAGGCATGGCGGAGTTTTAATTCAAATAACTTTCGGAAAATAAAAGTAAATCTTATTAACAAGCGGTTGCTTGTGTAATGCAAAACAGCTGATGGAGCAGTGTCACCACATGCCGGGAATGGGAAGCCGTACTATCGATAGGAATTTGAGAATATTTCCGCAGTACCATCGATAGGAATGTGAGAATGTTTCCACCGTACTTTCCACTTATAGAAATATATATATACTTCCTTTTACACATTTTAAATGTCTATGGTTGGACTTTCAATTGTGGAAAAAACACTGAAGATAAAGAACCTTAAATAATAAAAGTGAAACCTAATATAATTTTCGATTGTGTACCAGTGGAGACCTCCGGCTTCGATTATTTTCCCTCTATCGCATATCGATAAATCGAACAGCACTGGCAGCTACGCTGTTTACCTTTTAAACTTTAATTTGCAATTGAAGTTTTTGAAATTAAGAAATGGAAATAACACTGGCATTGATAAAGCCGCACGTGCTAAGGAATACCTATGCGATGCAACAAATCCGGGCCCTGATATCTAAGAACTTTACGGTCCTCGACCAGAAGGAGGTTTGCGTAACAAAAGAACTTTCGGAGCGGTTCTATGCGGAGCACCAGGGAAAATTCTTCTACCACCGACTTACCAGCTTTATGAACAGGTTGGTGGGAACCTAGTGACTTGGAGTTATGTACACAGATATTAGATAGCAATATCTTTGTATAATATCAATAATCGCGGCAATTTCTAAACTTTGTCATGTAAGGGATCTTATAGCAAGCTTTTAGCTGTAACAAAATCCCGCCAAAGATATGCCGGCCAAATTCTTGCATTGCCTTAAATAATATTACAATATATTAAAAAAAATCATAAATGATCTAAAAAAATACATAAAAATCTCCCCCAGTGGTCCCTGCTATGCGCTGATCCTCCAGTCCGAAGCCTGCATCCAGAAGTGGCGAAGTCTCTTAGGTCCCACCAAGGTGTTCCGTGCCGTTTATAGTGAACCCGATTGCATCCGAGCGTTGTACGGTCTATCCGATACCCGTAATGCCTGCCATGGATCAGATAGTGAGGCATCTGCGCTACGTGAGATCAGTATCTTGTTTCCGGAGTTTGACGTTGGTATAAGGAACCAACAGGCGAAGAAGGAGGCGTAGCTGGGGATTAAATTCGATCCTTGAAAAAGTCAGATAAAGAAGCATTTTCTTCTGGATACTGGAGAATTCTATAAGATACAAGAAAAATCCTTACAAGGTTGTTAAAAAGGAGTAACTAAATATGCCCTGATTGGCTAGCTTTATGGTTTTCTTAAAGGCTTTAGGATCTGAGCTGCCATAATTAGTAAAAGGGAACATGTTAAAGAGACATTAGAAGCTTTTCTTATATGCAATCCATGTTGATACCTCAAGACCAAAGAAGACAAAATATAAAAAAATAATGTCAGAAAACATTGCATTAAATAAATTAGTATAAAGAACTGCTTAGGTATAAAGGTCTAAAATCAGGACAATAATCCAGAATGCCTACCGAAAGAGTTAATCAAAAGTTATTTGCTTGTAGAGGTAGAAAAAATGGAATAAAATAAGCATTTTAAAAAGCATTAACTACTGTTGAGCAGTTTATATTAAGCAATAAATGGCTAAGCCAATTCTTAATTTTATAGATTAAACTGCAGCCTGTTATTGAATATGTTAAATTAAAAAAAATGTATATACCACAAATCTCTGCTTTGTTAGTGAGGAAATAATTCCATCCTATCTTTGGTTATAATTTTCTAGCGAAATTGAGTTTAAGAATCTGATATAATACCCAATCAGCTTTCTATTTTAATTACGTTTACTAAACTTTCTTAGATGTTTTTTAAAAACTTTGTTTTCATTTCGTCAATTTCTATCCCATCTATTATTCTATCAAAACTTGACAATAAAAAACCATAGTAACTGATGAGTTTTAATATAATAACCATTTAGCTTCTTGTTTTTCTTGTATTTCTCATTCCATAAAGATCCATGCTGGTTGTGTTTCAAAAACTTTATTTTTATTTCGTCAATTTCTGGTTTACATAATACAATTCTTTTGCTTACTAGGTGGTAGGTACATGTATAGATAGAGATTTTCGATTTGTTCTGGTTACCGTTTTTAGCTCATTGTAAATAGTTGGTAATAAAATTATAAAATTTATAAACTTAACAAATTATATAAATATATATATTTATGTGTGTTCTGTAGTTTCTATTTTTTCTTCCTATAAATAGGTAAAGATATAAATGTTTTTCTTTTCCATTTTGTATATCGGTTCAGACATATAGCAAGAAATTTATTAAAAAAAAAACAGAGATATATATTTTAGTAAAACAAAAAAAGGAGAAATATTTTGTAAATTCTTGTATTTTGTTTGCAGCTCTGCGCGAGCGAGACGGCAACTGCATCTGCTGTCTTTTTCTAACTCGTGTACGACAACGACGTCGAGTACACTTTACCGAAAATCGAAAAACATTACAAAAAAAAATCCGAGAAAAAAATATTTAGGATATTCTAATAATAATAATTATAGAAGTGTATAACCGTCTCTCTCTAAATCTAGTTGTAGTTTCTGTTTTTTGGTTGCAACGATTTGTCAAGGCAGACAGCAAGTCACAAAAAAATATGTATTTAACAAGTTTATCCATAATAGTATAGTATTTACGTTTGCTTTCCTTTCTTTTCTTTTCTTTTCTTTACGTTTTTTCTATTTTTTTGTTTGCATTTTCTTTTTGCTCAGTGTTTGTTTTCTTTACCTTATATTTTTTTTTTATTTTTTTTTTTTTTTTGGTATCAATTACAAATCTTTAATGCCTATTTTTGCAGTCCTACGAATTTCACACGCGATCCCCCGACCGCCAGGTGGCGCATTTGTCGCACTAAGTTAGAAACATTCAGTTTGGGATGTTTGTTTTTAAGCTTTTTGTCCTTGTTTGTTGTTGTTTTCATTTTTGCATTATTATCATTATCCTCGCTCTCCATCTCCATCTCCATCTCACACACATATACATATATAATATATATAAATATTGCTATTCCAGCCGATCTCTAGATCGTTAAACTCGTATATAATGTTAAACGCCAACGGAAAAATGTAAATTAGAAACCAAACAAGGATAAAACCTGAAAGCCCTGCGGCGAGTGTTGTTGGTAGGTGGGTACTGTACGGTTTTGGTGGTGTCTTTCGATTCCTGGCGGCACTGTACTCAAACCTCAGCCCATCATGATCATGCATCATAATGATCAGTCCCTAGATATAATACGTGGTATTTATATAGGGCGGGGGATGGGCTGCTGCACTTCTAACCGCTTGGCAAAGATATTTCTCGACTGTTCAAGTGTGTGTTTGTGTTTCTTCTTTTGGTTTCTGTCATTTGTCTTGATCTTTTAATTAATAGAACACAAAAATATATGTATATATAGATTTGTTTTTGCTTTTGTTTTGGTTTTTGTTGTTTGTATAAACGTACGTACACATCAACTATGCAACTTGGCCTATGCGCGCTACATAAGGATACACATGATGTATCGCGACACTAAATATCTGTATATATATCCATATATAATCTTTGAATATAACCAGCTCATAGCATAAAAAGACTATTTCAAATAGTTTTTCTAGTTTATCTCTAGCACTACTTTGTCAACGACAACGTCAGTATATCAATATAGGTTGCTGTCCCTAACACTTCCATTTCGATCTCTTAACTTGGCCTATATATCAGTAACTCAACCATTTTGTATCCTGTCTATATATCCTCCTCGTTTGTATAGTTAATTAAGTGAATGTATTTGCTTCTCTTCCGAGTTCTTCGAGTTTTCCACGTTGACCCCCCAAACTATAACTTGAGCACTTTCTGGGGGGTCTTCATTACTCGAACATGGCCATCGATGAGGTGGGCACCACCTCCAACAGCAGCTGGAAGAAGAGTGTCACCTTGTCTGTAAGGGGAGGGGATAGGATATGATCATGATTAGATATTGAAGATTATAGGGAGAGTGAAGAGGAGACTTACTCATAAATCTCGGTGTCATTCCGAGCTTAACGAACGGCACGTAGAAGATCAGGCCCGCAAAGATGAAGAGCAGGGCATAGAGATACTCAACGCGCGGTGTCTCGAATATGGGTGCCGCCACGAGATACACGGAGATGACCAAGACCACAACGGGAATGATGATCGGCACTTTGTAGGGCCGGGGGTAGTTGGGCTTGGTATAGCGCATCACGATCAGGGCCAGCATCGCTCCGCCGTAGAATATCCAGGCGGTGAAGCTGAAGAAATCAATCAGCGAATCAATCGTGCCATGGAGCACCATTGCCGAGGCAATCAGCGACTGGAGACGGACGGGGTATATATATATATATAATACGCACAGAGAAAGATACAGAGAAAGTGGGAAGAGTTTTGTTTAGAACAAGGATTGCGGATCATAACACGGGCAAAGGGTTTAGCAAACAAATCATATATAGATGTGGGAGATTCAAACTTAACAAAACAGGAAAAGTATTTGGATAGCACATTCCGATTTTAGTTAGATATTCAAACTAATCTTTGGGATTGTTATTATGTGGCTTGTAAAGCAAAAACTACTTGGGGAGGAATCCCCATTACTAGTAAAGATACTTACGTGGAATATCAGCCCCGGGGCGGGTGTAAGACGACGCACATGGACATAGGAGAGGATGTCCAGCAGGTGACCCTCTCGACTGGCCGCAAAGCAAAGTCTGTAAGGGAAACATTATTTATGTATGATATTTCCTTATGAGCTTGTACAAGAATGCAGACCTATAAAAGTCTATTCTTAACTAAGTACCAAAATTTAATGGTCTTCTCTTAGAATTATGGGTACCTTTCTCTTGATTTTTACAGAAAAATTATAGCTCATTCTAACGAAATCTAGTTATAGTCAAGATTTTTAAATCAGACATACTTTTATGATCTCAAAATATTTCGAAATGTAATTTCTTTTTAAGCATTAGATGGCCGATGATGATGCTTTTTAGATACGACTACTATTTTTAGCTGAAATTTTCCTAGTTTATACTACAATTCTAAGCTAAAACTTCCTTAGCTCCTATTACTCTTACTACTTCTTACCGTCCAGCTGCAAAGAGCGTGCCATTGGCACTTCCAAACGTGCTGATGGTGACGCTGAGTGGCATCAGCCAGGCCAACGCTCCCAAGATGCGATTGCCAAAGGTGACGGCCACTGCCTCCGATTCGATCATCTCCTGTGGCGACATGGCCGCCAGATAGGAGATGTTGATCAGAGCATAGCAGAGCGTGACCAGCGGTATACCGATGATGATAGAACGTGGCAGATTTTTGCTGGGATTCTTGATCTCTTCGGTGACATAGTTCAGGTTATTCCAGCCATCGTATGCCCATAGGCCTGTGTAAAAGGCCGTAGCGATGGCGCCCACATTCGGCATTGGGCCATTAAATGCATTCGACAGGTGCTGCGTGTTGCCCTGCATTAGTTTCCAGGCTCCGCCGCAGATCACGACCACCACAGCCACCAGTTTGGCGGCGGTGAAAACGTTCTGCACGGCCATACCCAGGTTGACGCTGTAGCAGTTCACAAACAGAATCATCACTATAACAGAGGGGGCAAGCATTAGTTATTTGTAATTCTCAGAAGGGAAGTCATGTCCTTACCAATTGCCACCAGGGCGACCATCTTGACCACGCCCCTGGGCGGATCGCATTCCGTCACAAAGGCCTCAACGGCGTACTGTGCAAATGATAAGCATATTATAGCCATTTGAGATGGCTTCAACACCAAAGTCGATACCCATGAGAACAGAAACGCCGGCGCCGGTCCATAGGCATCCATAAAGTAGGCCCATTCCGCCCCCGACGATGTGTTCATCGTGCCAAGTTCAGCATATGCCAGAGCGCCTGAAAGTAGGCAAAACGGTTTCATAATTAGATTTCAATTTCGAAATTAAGTTATATATTTCTATCGGGAAAAATGAGTTAGCGGGCAAGAAAATGACATATTTTCTTAAGAAATATTTTTCGCTGAGTGCACGACGAAGCATCGCACTGGGAGGTGTGAGATTCCGCGAAAGTTTTTGGCCCCTTGCCAGCCGTGCAACAAGTTGTGATGAGTGCAGGGTCGGATTTTGGGATTTGGCCATTTGGCGGCGATTAAAAGTGGGTCACTTGCACGTGTACATCGGACATTGGGCATGAGGGGTGAACGGCGAGGGATGTTATGTTCAAGTTACTTACCCAGCAGAGAGAGCACGCCACAGGCAAGCCAGATTATAAAGCTAACTCCAACGGAACCAGTGCGAACCAGTAAACCGGAGGGTGACACAAAAATTCCAGACCCTAAAAGATACAAAATAAAAGAGAAATATATATAGATAAAAATACATAGATAAAGATATATAGATATATATATAGGTAAACCGTTTTACACGGCACAGCTGCGGTTAAAAGAAGAAACAGCTGATTAGGGTCCTCTCCACATTGTTTTTCCCTCCATTCGCGTATGCTAATGAGGGGGTGGCGGTTGAGGGAGATAGCATGGTCTATATAGAATATATGAGGGGGTGTTTGCAGACGTCATCAGTGGGCGAAAGAAACTTTCGCGCGAAAGCTTCGACCACGCGGCGAATGCGCAAATACCGGTAAATAGCGGTATTTCATATTTTTGCCGAAAATTTCCAAGAACTCTCTTCGGGTGCGAAATGTTGGGTTTGGTGGACTGGACGGACATCTCCGAAAAAGGAAAGACGTGCAACAATTTTTGGTAACGTGCCACAACTGGCGCCATTGCCTAAGGTCAAAGTGCAGTAGCGATAACAGTTAGCTATTCGTGTCATAAATATGTAATACGGCTCCGTGTTCCGATTCTCATTTTTATAACGAGTACAGTGGCGGGCAAGTTGGTGGGGATAAGTTGGATGAAAAGGATGTTTTGCTGTGGGAAAGTAACTGGCACTTATTAAGGAGTTTATTTTTTACGGAATTTTCCTTATTTTTTAGATTTTTTATTAAAATATATTAAGAAAAATGAACTCTTAAATAAGTTTATTAATGGTTTTTAAGAATTAAACATTGAAGAATCGTTTGAAAGACATTCCAATTGCTTAAATGTCGGACATTTTTTATAAGTTTTCTAAGGAATATCTCCAAAAACGAAGTAATATTACTTTGACTGACCACCACTGTATTCTCCACTTTCACTAGACCGCCCTTTTCCGCCCCCTCAAAAATATGCCTGGAAATTGGCCTTAATCCACGCAATTCCATCGCATTCACCCACCACCCCACCTGCCGCCTCTTTGCCACTTTCATTCTGACGCCGATTGCGTATCTATATATCTATACACTCTGACACCCACAGTCAGACATATATATACTCTTATATATATATACATAAACTGAGGCTAAAGCTGTGTCTATATATCTAAATTTATGCGTACGTATTTTTGGCCATGCGCGCCTCCAATCTCAACCAAAAAAAAAAACAAAAAGGAAGGAAAAAAACATCAAACCGAATGTGAAAATGTGCCTCAATATTTTCCAACGACTCCCAGAACCCAGAGATAGAGAGCGAGAGAGTGAGAGCAAGGGAGGGAGGAATGATGTATTAAAAAACAGGAACGAAGAGCAAGCATTTGACACAATCTAAGGAAAATTGTGGATGCTCGTGTTATTTTCTTGGGAACATTTTTGGCTACATTCCTGGCTCATGTTTTATGCATTTGTTTTTCTGATTATTTTGGTCAAGGGAGAAGAGCATCTCCCAATGGCCTTTACACTCACCTATCATAGTTCCAACAATTAAAGCCACCCCACTGAAGAGGCCCAGCCTGTAATAAGAAGAAAAAAGGAAAGGATTAAATATGGGGAGCTAGACAAGCTTGTGATTATATTTAGGTCAAGGTTGGGCTTAGTTTGGGAAAATTATGATGGCTTAAATGGCTTTAAATTTCTTAATTAAGATAGAAAAAATACTTTGACAGTGTCTCTATTCCGAAAGTTAAAACATTTCTTCTTATTCTTTATAAAAAAGTAAAGCTATCAAGCTTGCTTGATCTTAAAAATGTCTAAATTAAACCCCTAAATCATGATTTCATCATTCAAATCTTTAAGCTTAAGTCAAATGTCGATAAATATTGGTTGTTAGATGGCAAAAATAGCTACGCGAAGTTGTTAATTTCGAGGGAGTTGAGTAAATCATTTAATTGGCAGGAATGTGTTAAAATTAAGTCAAGTGGATGGCGGCGCGTGTTTTGAGCCAAGTAAATAGAAAATGTTTACGTCTACACTGGAAATATATTCGTTATACGGTTAAGGGTTGAAGTTAAAAGTATAATCTTCTTTTTCGACTTGAAATTTGTAAGGTAAATAAGGAAATGTTTTCTTTTCGTAGGCTAGATGGTTTCTACTTCAAGCCGCTTACTTTTAAATCGAATATTTAGTTTATGTTTTATTTTAACTTTATATGAAAAGAAAAGTGTCTGTAAAAGTTATTAAAAAGTCATCATTTAAAATGGTTAATAAATTAGATCTTGTAAAAATCTTAACTTCTGACCTAGACATAGCCTTGAAAGTCTTCGCAACTCTTTCTTAAAACTAAGATATATGAGATGCAGAAAGATAAGTCAGTCAATCATTACCTTCTCTCGAGGTGAACAACGTGGTTCTGCGTTGAGCCATTCCTCTCCAGCGGCTTCCGCATCCGCCCGGTCCCTGATGAGTCGGTCTCTGGCGCTTCGGGCCCTTCTGTCCCAAGAGACCCATTGGCGCACATGGTCCCGTTGGTCGTTGCTTTTGTTGGCACATTATGTCCTGCAAGACCAGCATATTAAGATCATCAACATCACACCGAAGGATCACAAGTCGCCAGACGGATCGAAAAAAAGAGAGAGCAGAACACATTGATTAGCATTTTGGAAAAGAACTTTGATCACCATAAAAAAAAATGTATAGAAAATTCGTTTTGATTTTCCTCATTCACCGGATGGCTTATATCGAAACGACCGCACAGTTTTCTTCTCTGTGTAGATGGTTTTTATGAATGAACCTATAACACACACACACAGAGTACACACTAGTACACACACACACACCTCTGTTATTATCTGTTGAATTATTTTTGCATGCGTTCTTTTGCAAGCAAAATAGTTGTGATATTTTATCGCGCATGGCATGGACGGATAACAAGTTGCTAAAATTATTTCGCCGCGAATTTCAGCTCTCAGCGAATACGTCTATATATGAATATATTTCTATATATATATATATATATATATTTTCAAAGATATATATATAAAAATGTTCTTAAAACAAGAGCGATCCAAAAAAATAGTAACGCAGTGGGCGGCGATTCGCAGGCAACTGTTCGCATCCCATTTGGCGGCGGCGTCAAATAGTCCGCCCGGCGAAAGCTTTCCGCCGAGCGAGTAGTCGGGTGGCAGACGAATGGCAGACGACCGTTAGCCGAGTGTCCGGAAAAACAGCCGATGGGGCGAAAAAACAAAAAAAAAAGAAACGACCGGCGGATGGGAGAATAATTTAACCACTTTCTCCAAACGAGATTCGCTTTGAGATGTTCTCTGGGTTTTGGGTTAGGAAGGGTACAGCCAGTTTGTAGCTTAGATATATCAATATATATATATATATATATATATATATATTTGTATTTGGAGGATAATAATAGTAGCCAGTAAAACGTCTTGAAGTAACTGCTTTCTGTGGGCGGCTTAGAGTATCATGTTTATGGAGAGATTGGTAATAATAATGGCTAAGGTTAAGGTTACAGTCTCTGGTCTATGGAAATTATGGAGTTTCTTCTCTGGAAAGATAACCTTTTTGTAGAAGTTTAAGTTTGAAGGGTAGAGTATTTAGTTATTCTAGTTAGAAAGATGGGTTTTCTTTTAAAATGTTTATAAGATTTTATATCCTTAATGAGGAGGCTAAAGAAACTCCTATTAAAAATATCCCAAAATTCTAACTTGAAAAGAAAAACAATTCCAATCCACCCTACTTATATACCACCTCAGTAAAATTTCTTCAGTGTTGTTTAAGAATTTTTGTCTTTCGTTTTTCCCATTGCTGACTACGTGACACACTGCGTATGTATAGAAGTCCTCCTCCTTCCGACTGATTTATGCAATTTGCCGAGACTGTCGTCGTTGTCGTATGGTTCTTCTTCTATATTTTATATTTTGATTATAGAATTGTCAAGGTGAAGGCATCACACATCCTCCGCTCGCTCTCTAGATCACTCTGGCGTCTCTCTGCCGATCTTGCCACAGCCTATTTATAAACTTTGCATAAAAATTTCAAATTGAATTAGTCGGCTAATTCCCTGGCGACGTCAGAAGGTTGTGCTTCTCGCCCAATAGAGATCAGAATCTGAATCTGAATCTGAATCTGAATGTGCAATATAGCAGCAAGTAGTAGCATCTCAGTAGCCGCCTCCATTCATCGGCTTCTCTCAATTAATTGTTGGTTGCGCATTTCATTTGCCTCAATTGGCCGCTTATTAATGGTCATGTGCTGTGACTCCCTTGGCCACACTTTCACATATATATATATAGATATATAACATATTACTCCCCATCAGAAAGTCTGGCTACGTCACTGGATCTTTGGGTTCTCGCCCACGAGGCGTTTGAGAATTTCATCAGCCCACCACTGATTTGTACATATGTACGTCTTTACCCTCTATGTACATTCATGGTTCCAAAGTTCTCTCACTATTCCAACTGGACGGACTTGCCCCCAAAAATCGTATATGTACTAAAGATAGTGTGTTGGACAAATAGATATCTGCACGAGCATAAATATTGTACGTATATCCCAGAGATTTGGATACACACGCCGTATAGCGCCTACGTATGCAGTCATACAGCTTGGTCAAGCAATTAGCATCGATTTGGGTTTTAATTATTTGGAGATTTCTTAAAAGATAGAATTTCTTGCTTTAAAATATTCTTAATATCTCTGGAGATAGAAGTTTCCTTTAAGAGGATATATGGCGTATGCTTAACATGGGTTACGTATATGTAATAGTTAGGCGTATGATTAATATGGATTAAGTATACGTAATAATGTGGCGTATGCTAAATATGGGTTAAGTATACGTAATGATGAGGCGTATGCTTAATATGGGTTACGTATACGTAATAGTTAGGCGTATGATTAATATAGGCTACGTATACGTTTGTGAGGCGTATGCTTAATATGGGTAAAGTATACGTAATGGTGAGGCGTATGCTTAATATGGGTTACGTATACGTAATAGCGAGGCGTATCCTTAATATGTGTTAAGTATACGTAATAATTTGGCGTATGCTTAATATGGGTTAAGTATACGAGGTGTGTTCAAAAAGTAAGGTGACTTTTCAAATTTCTCGGGCAACATATTTTCGATTATCGTTTTTTTTGTTTTGTTATATTGGTACACTCTTCCCTAACATCTGTACCAAGTTTCAATGGAACATCCTCTTTTGTTTGGTTGTGAGAGGCGTAAAGTTACAAGTTGTTTTGCGAGCTCGGCGATTTTTTGCTATCGAAAAATATGGATCAAAGGATTTGCATCAAATTTTGTGTAAAAAATAAAATTAAGTGCTCTGAAACACTTGAAATGTTGACAGTGGCATACGGTGAAACTGTTCTGAGTAAAAAAAATGTGTACAAGTGGTACAAACTCTTCCAAGATGGCCGGGAAGATGCCAATGACCAGCCTCGCTCTGGACGCCCAAGCACGTCAACAACTGATGAAAACGTTCAAGCAGTGACGAAAATTGTTTTGGAAAATCGTCGAATCACTATCAGAGAAGTTGCTGAAGATGTCGGTATATCGCTTGGCTCGTGCCATGAAATTTTTCAAACGTTTTGGGTATGAGTCGTGTGTCAGCGAAGTTTGTTCCGAAATTGCTGAATTTTGAGCAAAAGAACCGTCGCATGAGCATCGCTCAAGAGCTGTTGAATGACGTCAACGACGACCCAGATTTACTCAAAAGGGTCATAACTGGTGACGAATCATGGGTATATGGTTATGATATCGAAACCAAAGCCCAATCGTCCCAATGGAAGAGCCCAGACGAGCCAAGACCGAAAAAAGCAAAAAATCGCCGAGCTCGCAAAATAACTTGTAACTTTACGCCTCTCACAACCAAACAAAAGAGGATGTTCCATTGAAACTTGGTACAGATGTTAGGGAAGAGTGTACCAATATAACAAAACAAAAAAAACGATAATCGAAAATATGTTGCCCGAGAAATTTGAAAAGTCACCTTACTTTTTGAACACACCTCGTACGTAATGATGAGGCGTATGCTTGATATGGGTTAAGTATACGTAATAATGAGGCGTATGCTTAATATGAATTACGTATACGTAATAGTAAGGCGTATGCTTAATATGGGTTAAGTATACGTAATTATTAGGAGTATACTTAACATGGGTTAAGTATACATAGAATAAGGCGTATGCTTAATATGTGTTAAGTATACGTAATAATTTGGCGTATGCTTAATATGGTTTAAGTATACGTAATAATTAGGCGTATGCTTAATATGGTTTACGTATACGTAATAGTAAGGCGTATGCTTAATATGGGCTACGTATACGTTACAGTCATGCGTATGCTTGATAGTGAGGCGTATGCTTAATACGGGTTACGTATACGATTTAGTGAGGCGTATGCTTAATACAGGTTACGTATACGTGCGGATATATAAGAACTCATTTAACATCTCTAAGTTTCATTATTATTATTTTTATTGCTTTCAACTAAATCGATTTAATTTTCCTCCCTGAACAGAACTATTAGTTTGCCTGCAAGTGTACGTATAAAAATAAATAATATACGTCTGTACACAGACTCTTCATATATATATATGTGTGCAGGCACATAAACATAAATAAACGATTCCTACGTTAAGCTCTTGGTCAGCGATTCAGCTTCGCGCCAGCCAGCTTCTTCTTTCGCGGCCTTTTTTTTCTCAATGTATTTTCTGTCATAAAAGTCACGCGGCCTGTGAGCATTTTTCTTCGTTTTTTTTTCTCATTTCATTTATTTTTTTTTGTATATTTTTTTTATTGATCGTGTAGCAAAGGGGGCGTGGCAGAGGCGGGTCGGTTAGATTACTTTTCGAGATATTTTTGCAAGTCAACAAGTGTCTCGAATGGGCTGTTGCACATTGGCAAAGGGCTGGGACGTAGGGTAAAGCTATAATCTGATCGATCAGTGAGTCAATATATCAGTTTTTGTTATTCATGCATATGAGCACGTAGTGTAGGCAGTCATGTTTAAATGGAAACACTTATGAAGTGTTTTAGGTTCTCAATAAAATTATCTTTAAGTATCGATTTATCAATGATAATCATGGGAAATCTATAACGTCATGTTATCTTTTTAGTTAAAGGAAGATAATTAGAGGTAAATGGCTTTATAATAACTTTGATAATTCACAGGATTGGGAAATAAGTTAAAGAAATATTACTCATACACAGTGTGGTGCCATCAGGCTTAAAAAATACTCTTCTTTTATGGATATTCTCCTATTATATATTCTCCTATATTCATATATTCATGTTGCATAAGGCTTAGCTTTCAATTTCCTTTTTCCGATGATTAAACTAAACCTTCTCTAGACCCTTTACATCTACATTGTAACTTAATTACTGATATTTTCCTTAAGTTAACAAAAACAATAACCACTTGACAACCAGCCAGTGGTAGTGACGTCACAAGCGTAATGGTCAATTAAAAAGTAACACGAGCCAGACTCAAAATCCCCCTCTCCTCTTTCTGATCACCCAAAGCTGTTGAAAGAGTTTCTTGCGCAGTTTTATTAAAGCAAAATGTGATTCTCATTCGTCTTGACAGGCATTCGGCACCACAGACTTGAATGGCCGCATAAAAATTACAAATGCAATGGGATTCCTATAGTAAGCTTTGGGAAATGGCAAAACGGCTTAGTTTCCGATTGATAATTCTTTAGAAATATGAAAATATAGATGTTACGATGAATATAAGACTCAGATTGATTTTATTTCAATATGAAACAAACAAGAAGTGTGATTTCTAGAGCTTTATGGCTTAGATATCGCTTTATGATTTGCTTTCTGATAATCAAATAACAGTTCATTGAAAGCCTTTCTGTACCACACAGTTACCACTGTACTTAGTCTCAGCCGGCTAGAACCTACGCCCAGCGTTGCACGTAGACTCTGCGCCTAATGGTGTGCGGATGTGCGATATATCTTCGTATTTTCAGGGTTCGAACATTGTTTGGGCTTGTCGGCTGATTTTCGCTAATTATTTAGACACTCTAAAGCAGAATGCAAAAAAACTAAAGA